CGGGGATGACCGAGAGGAGGTCCGCTGGAGCGGGGGAAAAACAGGGAGTGGTGGGGGGCGGGAGCGGTCGCGATGGCGGCAGCGCAGAGAACGTCAAAGGCCAAAGGCAACCGGGGAACCCGCAAACGGAAACACAAATCCCCCACAAAAACCTCAGAACGCTAACCAGAGGTTGTTTCAGCAGAGTGATTTGTGTTTTCACTATAGAACACCAGAGCGCATTGCTCTGCCGGAGTGAATGCCAGCTCAATTACCCGGACTCTGACTGCGGAGCGTGAGGAATGTGTACCATGAGAGGACGAAGCTGTGTGTGTGTTGCTCCGAGCTCTGCGCACGTGTAGAGAGAGGCCTTCCGCCATACGGCAGCCAAATTAATACTATCCGAAATTATCATTATTACTATAGCCCCTTTTGTTTGTTTTCAGCTCACGAGGGACACAAATCCGTTGAATGAGAGTGGAGGGGCCACCTTTTCATCACGAACTCTCATTTACACCGACAGTGTTGTTGGTAAAAATAAAGATATCGAAAAAAAACCTTTGTTTATATAAAAATTCAAATCATGATCTGAAAAAGGGGTAAAGGATGGGTATCCCACATGCTCTTTAAATTCCCTTGTGATGAAAATGAGAAGGTCATGGCTAATTATATTTACAAACATGTCATCTCGTCATTGTACGAAAATTCGTTCAATATAGACGACGAAGAAACCCGTAATGAGATTGGTTTGTAAAAATAATCAGCCATGATATTCTAATTTTCATCACATTTTTTCTTACAGTGGATCAAGAGACCCGGACACGAGGCGGGCACGCGTCTACTTCCCTCACCGTCCCCCCCACTCCCCCCCCTCCAAATCCGGGATTGGATGGGGCAGAAAATAGCGGCGTCTCTTCCAGTTGGGAAGACGGCCCGACACGTGAGACAGCGCGGGCTTATTGCTCCAGGGATGTGTGTGGCGCCGGGGGCTGCTCCAGCGAGCTGCTCCAGGGAGCTGCTCGAGCGAATGGAGCCAAAGGTCTCTGTCGATCCACGGAAACAACACGAAATACTACAGCAGGTGGCGTGAGCTGAGGACCCTGCCCCGCACATCCCATGCAAAAGGCTTTCCCGAAGGATTTTGGGACTGACTTTTACATTTTAAGTTATCCTATTACATTCCCGACTTTCTTTATTTTGGGGCTATGACCACTGACGAGATACGGCCCCCGAAAATGTTATTCCCTGTACGTGTACGTGACCCTCCTACGCCTCCGCGGACTCCACGTGCCTCCCCCGTCTCCTGTGGCCCCCGGCCGCGAGCACGCTCCCGCCGCCCCGGCACGGACTTATCTGGGAGGTGGGGTGCTAGGGGAGGCGAGCGCGGGGGAGCGAGAGAACCAGCGAGGGAGTGAGAGAGAGAGAGACGAAGAGAGACGAAGGGAGAGAGAGA